AAAAAAAAAAAAAAAAAAAAAATCACATTTTCTTTAATGTGTACGGTGTACCCAAGAATAACAGGAGTCATACGTAAGAAATTAATTTTATTTATCGCTAACGACCATTTAGATTAACCAATGCAACCGTTGGTCTTGAAGTGGAAAACCATGACTTCTCCATGTGCAGATTTTGTTGAGCTGTAATGTCATTGTGGTCAAGATGTCGTGTCAGTCAGGCCCACTAACTTAATGGTGCCGACTGTTCTGCATTACTGGCTGTACGGCTGTACCTACTCAAAGCCCTGATCTAAATCTACCGTTCAAATTTTATTTAAGCCATGTTCCAAGTCTTCTTCTTCTTCGCCACGAATAAGCATTTGAGAAAAATCTTTCCTGCCTTCAGTTCTCAATTTCTCATCATACAGTTTTTCATATCTAAAGCAAATTACGGGATCCATGGCAGCTTATGGAGCTCTGCTTTCTCTTACAAACACCATTGACCAAATCCAAAATCACCCTCGCCCACCCATTTCCCTCGACAAATTGAAAATCAAACCACTTATCCAAATGGTTGCTTTCTTGATGCAGTTCCTTGAAAACTATATTATTGATGATGAAGATGGCTTGGAGGGGCGTATGGTCGATGCGGCTCAGGAAGCCGAGGATATAATTGAGTCCCACATTGCCGATCATATCGAGGCTCATGGGGAAGCTAACACCAGTTCCATGGAGGACGACTCTTTGTATCGAGAGCTACAGAAAGTGATTCACGACTTGAATTCCATCACAAAAGACGTGGTTGTTGTTAAAGAGAAGGCGGGGAAAAAAATTACTCCTTCTTGCACAAAGGATGATGTAATGCTGGGTTCCGATGATGTCATGAACAACATCATGGATAAGCTGAACAACAGTCCTTCCAAGGGGGACAACACGATGGCGAGTGTCATGAATGACATAATGGATAAGCTGACCAATCAACAATCCAATCATCGGATCATCGCAATTGCTGGCATGGGCGGCATTGGTAAGACCACTCTTGCAAAAAAAATTTACGAAATTCCACTTATCGCGGAATACTTTGATATGCACGGATGGGCTACAGTCTCTCAAGAATTTGATTCGAAAAGGATTTTATTAGAAGTCCTTTGCTGTTTGAAACTCATTAGGAGTGAGGACAAGTTCAGCCAAATGAGCAAACATGAATTAGGAGACACATTGTATAAAAGCTTATTCGGCCGACGATATATGATTGTAATGGATGACATTTGGGGTATGGACGCATGGGACGGTGTGAAACAGTTCTTTCCAAATAACGACGACGGGAGCAGAGTATTGATAACCACTAGGCTGTCGAAAGTGGCTCTGCAGCTCGATGGCCCGGATTACTTTCAGATGAGCTTACTGAATCAGAATGAAAGTTGGAATTTGCTGCATGGGTGCGTGTTTGGGGAGCAAGGGTGCCCTCTGGAACTGGAACAGATTGGGAAGGACATTGCCGGAAAATGCAGAGGCCTTCCATTGTCGATTGTCGTAATTGGAGGACTCCTAGCAAAGTCTGAACAGACACAGGAAAACTGGCAGCACATTGTAGAAAATTTAAGCTCCACCGTGAATTTAGAGGAGGACGAGCGTTGTTTTAGAATACTAAAGTTGAGCTACAATCAACTACCGGTCCACCTTAAGCCGTGCTTTCTGTACATGGGCATGTTTCCGGAGGACCATGAGATTAGCGTCCCCATGCTGCTCAAACTATGGGTTGCTGAAGGATTCGTGAAAGCTGTGGCCGGTAAAAGCTTGGAAACAGTTGCTCGAATAGTGTACCTACATGATCTCGTGATCAGAAACCTAATCATGGTTCGTGGGTGGGGCTGCACTCAAAGAATAAAACAGTGTGGCATGCACGATCTCCTGAGGGACTTATGCATAAAAGAAGCTGAGAAATACAAATTTTTTCGCACGATGGAAACAACGCACAACAACCCTGAGCATCACGACCAAATTAGCTGGCGTGCCCAACGCCGTATCGGTATTCACGAAGCCGGGAATTGGAAATACATTCCCCGTCCACTCCCTAAAGGTGTGCAATCGGCATCACACGCACGAACTCTGATATGGGAAGTTAATGAACATTTAGCATCTGTAGTACCTTTTAGACTGCTTAGGGTTCTGAATGAAAAAGGCTACAGGTGGAGTGAACGATTTGTAAGAAACAACTTTCATCTGGTTAACTTGCGCCACCTGTATACCCAAGCTGATCTGTCGGCGCTTGAATTTCCTCCTGAATTTAGCCAACTCTGGAATTTACAAAACTGGATGGGCAATAAGGGCCCAGTGATGTTGGACATCTGGCGGATGACCCAACTGAGGCACGTCAAGGTAAGCAGGCTCCAGCTCACGGATCCTCCTCCAATGGATGGAGAAAAAGTTTCGATGGTGTTGGAGAATCTGGAGACGCTGATGATGGTATATCACTTGAGGTTGGGTGATGAAGTGGTTGAGAGAATCCCCAATATCAAGAAGCTAGCACTTTGGTACGAGGAGGAGGATGAGGAGGAGGAGGAGTTATCGCCCGGTGATTATCGTCTCGACAATCTCTGCCAACTACATAAGCTGGAGGCCCTTGCAATTATTTCGAGGCCAACTGAGCTGGCAAGGGACTTGATGATCACATTCCCAGCTTCGCTCAGGAAGCTGAAACTATTTGGCCTGAGGCTGGGGTGGGAGGAGATGGGGACAAAGATAGGGTCGTTGCCATATCTTGAGGCCCTTAAGCTATATGACAATGCGTTCGTGGGGCTTGAGTGGGAAACAGCCGATGGAGGATTCCGGAGCCTCAAGTACTTGAAAATCTACGTCTGCTCTGGTCTTGAACAGTGGAGGGCAGAGGCCGCGCACTTCCCGCGTCTCGAGCGGCTCGACCTAGAGAAGCTAGACAAGCTGAAGGAGATTCCATTGGAAATTGCGGATATAACCACGCTTAGGGAGATCAGGGTGGTGCGTTGTAATGACTCTACCGTGCTTTCTGCAAAGAAGATATTAGAGGAACAACAGAACTGTCTTGGGAAAGTGGAGCTTCAGATTACAGTTTGGATACATGCCGGAAAAAGCCAACTACGAGGTGAGAGCTTGAGGAGTCGGAACTTTACAGTTATGTTCCCAAGAACATTCGTAACAACCAGAGCTTATATAAAATAAATTTATTTAGTTTAGGCAATACCGAACACAGTGAGAATTCGGCAATGTTCTCTCGGATCTTTATTAATTCGTCCAAAAGATCCTTTTATTATGATTTTTTGAGCTATTTATAGCCCTGGTACAATTGGACACTGTTCATGTGTGTAGTACAAGGAATATTTCTATTTTAGGAAAGTACACTCACATTTAATAGCTAATCATTATGGCTCGAATCTCGAGGCACATCGACGCCGAGAGTAAGTACACAGGTATCCGACACTTCAACGGTTTGTAGTCTTGTTGAGTATTTAATGCTCGACTTGTCGGTCTCAACTGAACGGGTAATCGGCCATCATGTGTGTTTGCAGTTCGGCCCTTTCTTGTTCTCTTGTTCGGCTGTCTTTGTCTCAATAATAGAATTTCTCCTTTTACTTTAACATGAATACACGTGTCGGACTCATATTGGAGACGAAATCCGGATGTCAACAAGTTAATTACGGTATTGCTATTTATGAGGATCGTACCATCTGATCGCATTGATGGGAGGGCAGTTCCTCGAGACATACTTCCTATTGAAGTAAAGTTTCATTTTTTTTTTATTTATTTTTTGGGAGTTGCTTCAAAATATGCACTTGAGGTTTTGACGTATATATCTTCACTCATTTACAGATCATGCCCACAAGATAGAGTATTTGTTGAGGTGCTGGAAATGTCGAGTGCCTCTACAACCTATCCCCAGATCTTCGCGGAGTGCGACGTGCTGATCGTGCGTAGCGGGGTGTTCGAGGCGGCCAAGGGGGGGCTGAAGGTGGTGGGGCGTGCCATGGCGAGGAACGTCGTGCAGGCTGATGCTTCCATGAAAGCTGGTATGATGTGATTACTGTATTGAAACTTGTTGTTTTGACTTTAGATTCGGAATTTGGTTGGCCAAATTTACAGGGGGAGCTAATCGATTGAGCTCCGATTTTCATGGCTTCTTTTCATTTCAATTTTAAATTATTTCCATTGAAGTTAAATATCATGTAAAATGAAGGCTGCTTGCTAACAAGCTCCTTGTGAGGGGAAACTAGCAATGCAGATCCGAGTACAAGGCAGAGTAGAACGTTGAATGTAGCTGTTCTTTGGTCTTTCTTGTTCAATCTGTGTAACTTTTATTTACTAGAAAGATGCACGTACGTGATATTATTGTTTTTTTATAGTTAATTTTTTTTTTTAGATTTATATTTAATAATATAATATATTTTCTTTCCATTAGTTTAACAAAAAAAAAATCGTGTATTTTATGATAAACAATAATAAAGGTATTGAATAATGAAATATAATATTTAGTACTATTAAAAGAACTCTATGATATATAAAATTAAATAAAAAATCATTGGGTTGAAAATTCAAAATAAAATTAATATTTTTTTGTGAAATTTGAAATGCTAAAGAAATGTCTTTGATTTTGTTATTTAATGATATTCTCATTATGCTTAAAATAATGATCATTATTATTGTAATTATAATATAGTTTTCTAATGTCTTTCTTTTGCATCATACTCTTTGGAAAATAACTCAAGTTTCATATAACTATCATTTGCAATGACCAACTATGTTTGAATGTTTCGTTCTATATTATTTTAATCATAGTGGTTGGAAATTCAATTATATTTGCATACAAAATATTTCATAATACTTAGATATATATTTTCTCTCTGGATATAATGACATAAGAGATAAACAAATATTTGAAAATGTCTTTAAAGGCGTAATTATTTCAAAAAAGAAATTTACATGAAAAAGATTAAGAGCAATAACATCCTTAATAGATTAAAGGTACCCATCTATCTATATATATTGTCCAACATTGGTTCATTGAAGATAATCATCTATATATATTGTCCAAAATAAATTATTGTTGCATCTCTTAACATTGCCATGCATGCTCTATCATTTTCGTCCACGGATTTTCAAACTATCCTAAACGTGAAAAATAATAAATAATTTTAGTTTAAATGAGATATAAAATGTTAATACATCTAAAATGATTATAAATAATCAACATATTTATGGTAATCCAGACCTAATTATTTTGGATTGGAATTAAATTAAAATCTATCCAAGCTAAATAATAAGACATGGAATTTTGACACCTACGATCTCGAAGCATGCGAGTCTGCCACTTAAGCTCAGCACATTCGAGAATTATATATAGGGGATACTTTCATTGATGCATTATAAAATAATAATTTTTCTTACATTTAAAAATTACCTTTAAAATAACCAAACCAGAACCTAAAGAATAAACTATTTATTTAAAATCTATAAATTTGCATAGATAATCATTTTTTTATGTGTAAATTAAAGATATAGTTTAATATAAAAAATAAAATGATGAATTAAAGTAAATTATAAAATGGAGGTTTAAAAACTTCAAAAATATTGTCAGTTGTAACTTGCTAACATTAATACGAAAATTACATTAATAACTTTAAAACTTATCTTTAGTAAGGGTACTCTTGGCAATTTAAAATTTTCAATAAACTACTTCGTTTTAAGATAGTTATAGATTATAGACTAGATATATCAAGAAAGTTGTGTTTTGCTACATTGATAGAGTATATATATGAACTGTTGGGTTCGATAGTACAGTACGGGCTGTACGCAGCGGAATTTAAAATTTTTAAAGTAAGTATTTATCGTATAAATACAACACCCGTACATACTAATTGCGAATTAACTGATCGTCATCTTTAAAACATGCATCATATACAAATTTTGATTTGTTACTATAAAGTAAATACTAGTAAAAATATTTACCGAATTTCTTGAACTCCTTCACTATTGATGATGGATGAGGGAATCGGTTCCCGGTTGTAACTTCAACGACTTGAGGTTACTCGCTAGAGGAATCCAAGTGTCTTCCCTCTAAACGTATCCACCCTATGAAGCCCGGTTCCGACGACTTTCCTTCGCTAGTAGAAAAGACTCGGTTTTCTTGTATTAGGAATATTTATGAATTTTATTTGGGAATTTTAAGAACTCTTTCTTGAAGTTTTATGAAGAACACTTTCTTCTCTTTCTAACACTTAGAAATTTAGGATCAAAAACTTCACTTAAATGCAAAACCATTTTGCATATATTTATACTAAACATTTTAGCATAAAATAATGAACATTTAGTAATATTAAATAAAATCAAATTTTATTTAAATAGTATTTACTAACTTTTGACTTTGAAAATAATAAGATATGTTAAGTAGTTCAAACAACCATCAACAACCATTTTATTATAATCATATTTATTATTTTAATCCTTAAATCATATTTAAAGATATAAATAATAATTGGATAATAAATCTTGAGAATCTTTCTCAAGACTTTATTATTATATCATTTTCCCAATATTATAATAATCATATTATTATTATTTTGGATTTTTGAAATTTAAAATCCTATTTTAAAATTCAACTTTATTAATTTAGTAATTACCTTAATTACTAAAGTAATATCCAAAATGTAATTAATCAATCTTATTGATTAATATATTCCTTTAATTGATATCTAATCAAATTAGATATTTATCAATTAATTCTAACCATTAGAAATACAATCTTTACCTTTGTTCATAATTAGTGTGACCTTTTAGGTTCACCTTAATACTAGTAGTGGGTTTACAACACTTTGTAATTTGAGTTAAATCTTATTAACTCTTATTCATGAATTAACCCTTTAATTTATGAACCCACATATCATGGTAACACCTAGCAAGTAGCATGAATCTAGTATTAAGTGAATAGCGAGTAAACCTATTCCGATTACAACTCCATACATGTAAAATCCTTTCGACATCTAATTTCCCGATTAAGTCTTGGGTATGATTTTGTCGAAACCCAAATTGACTTAATAACTATGATTCTATTTCATGTTTATTAACCCGGTTATGAATCACTATTCATCTCTGCCTTGGCCAAGGACTTTGGATTAATAACTATGAAACACATAGGAAATTCACTTATCTTCATAAGTGTCGAATCCTTTATTGGCCACTAACAAACTTCCATACATATTAACATAATACCCAACTTATCCCTTTAAACGATAGTGCTAGCTACCAAAAGGATAAATCAAAGTAGAATGTAATATGCACAAAGTTACCATTGTGCCTCAAGTCTTAGGATTAGTCATGTACTATTGTAACATGAAAATTCTTATTCGACTGAATAAATTCTTCATTAAGAATTTTCATACGGTCATGTTCAGTGAACTTGTTCTCTAACAAGCACCCACATAAATGTACTTACGTCTTACGCTAATGTTGATGGAATGCAACATTCTTGTCCAACAAGCATACAAACTATGTGCAAGTCTTTTATGGATTATTCGATATCCCATCTCGAAACATCCATCGACTTGGAACTGTATTTAAGATCACGGCTTTCAAGGTATGTTCCATGATCACCATCTCTATGCGCAACCATACCTTATAACCATAAGTGATCTAGGGATTTTATCTTAAGTGCAATTATAAGATAAATGCTTTCTCTTAAGATAAAGAAATGCCTTATTCATAATATAATTCCAATAGACTGTATTTACAAGTAGAATACGTCCAATTAGATTGGAACGCCGGGTACCCTACTCTAACAATCTCCCACTTGCCCTAGTTCCAATCACTCATGTATCTAAGACCCATCTTCTCAAGATGTCCTTCGAACACTTTCTGTGATAAGGGTTTAGTTAAGGGGTCTGCTATATTTTCTGCTGAGTCGACTCGCTCCATCACGACATCGCCTCTACCAATGATTTCTCTAATCAAATGGTATCGCCTCATAATGTGTTTGGATTTTTGATGAGATCTTGGCTCCTTTGCTTGCGCAATAGCCCCATTGTTATCACAATAAATCATTATTGGATCAACAACGGATGGTACTACACCCAACCCTTGGATAAAGTTCCTTATCCAAACAGCTTCTTTTGCAGCATCAGATGCAGCAATATATTCAGCCTCTGTCGTAGAGTCAGCAATTGTTTCTTGTTTGGAACTTTTCCAACTAACTGCTGCTCCATTCAGAGTAAATAAGTATCCAGACATGGATTTATAGTCGTCTTTATCGGACTGAAAACCAGAATCAGTAAAGCCTTCTAGTTTCAGTTCTCCATTGCCGTATACCATAAAGATATCCTTAGTCCTTCGTAAGTACTTAAGAATCATCTTAACGGCTTTCCAGTGTTCTTCACCTGGATTAGACTGATATCTGCTCGTTACACTAAGTGCATGAGCCACATCAGGTCTTGTACATAACATTGCATACATAATGCTACCAATAGCTGATGCATAAGGTATATGACTCATCCGTTCTCTTTCTTCAGGTGTCTTTGGAGACATCGTCTTAGAAAGAGAAATCCCATGACTCATTGGAATATATCCTCGTTTGGATTCTTCCATGCTAAACCGTTGTAGCACCTTATTTATGTACGTCGACTGGGATAGTCCGATCATCCGTTTAAATCTATCCCTATAGATTTTTATCCCTAGGATAAAGGATGCTTCTCCCAAGTCTTTCATGGAAAACTGTTTTGACAACCATGTCCTAGTTGACTGCAACATCCCTACATCATTCCCAATGAGTAGGATGTCATCAACATATAGAACAACAAATGTAACTGCACTCCCACTAACCTTCTTATAAACACATGGTTCATCCGGATTCTTATGAAAATCAAACGTTTTGATCGTTTCATCAAACCGAATATTCCAACTCCTCGAAGCTTGTTTAAGTCCATAAATAGACCTTTGAAGTTTACAAACCATTTGTTCACTCCCATTGGATATGAAACCTTGCGGTTGTTTCATATAAATGTCTTCCTTAATATTTCCATTAAGAAAAGCAGT